TTCCTGATCGGAGTAGGATGGGGGCCCGGAAGTGCGAAAAGGGGTGTGCCAACGATTTTTGGGGATTTGGGGTGGAGTCCCATGTCGGAACTGAGATCTCCTGTGGCCAGCTATAGGGGTAGAAGTGCAAGTGTCTTCTGGCTCAGAGTTGGGGCGATGATCGATCGTGCGGCCTGGGCCGGGGTGGGGTGCTACGGGTATCTCTGTGGGAGTGCTCGTACCGCTGTCGGCCGTCGCAAGTCTCGGGGTCCGACGAAGACGAGCTGGGTTCTCGTGCTCTGTCCTGGGATGGGCTCGTTGCGGGACCCTTGCCTGCCGATACTCACCGGGCCGCCGACACTCTGAGCACGGCGGACGGGGCCAGAACCGGACTATGGAATCCCAGGGGACCACGAGTAACCGGTGGTAAGGGAGGACGGTATAGTAGGGAGGGAAGTCAGTGGTGATGGCAATGAAGCTTGGGTTTAGAAGATATTGCTGGTTTCGGTTGTCGGGATAATCGGGAATCCGTGGGTCTCGGTTGATTGCCAGCTGGAAGTCGCCCCTGCACAGTCGCTCGTTTTCAGTTCGGCAGGGGTATTCAAGGGGCTCAAGGTTCCGTAGGTGGCGATGTTGTCGGATCCGCTGCCGGCGGATCTATTCCCTCTCCCAATACGCTCGGTATTCTGGGTCCCTCAGGCTTTTGCGATCAGTGATACAAAAGGGGGAATCTATCGCCATGTCTCGTTCAACTGAATTCATGCACACAAATCTTCCTACGGGGCGAGATCGTAGCTGGCTTTTGCAGGCGCGCGTGTAGATGGCAAGTCCGCGGACGACTGCTGTCTTACACGTGCGTTCACACCGGCCAGTTCGTCAAATCCTAAACTGCACAAATAATCAAGGAGCGATCCGTCAGCGTACCGGCTCAACCATGCATCTAGTTCCCTCAGGCTATCAATCTCTTTCCGTTTTGGACATTCACAAAGCATACACACCCAACGGTTCCCATATGGCGTCGGGACCTTGATTTGTCCCGACCCGTATCGCAGATGGGGATTCAATCATTCATATCGAGATCTGTCGTGCTAAGTCCATTCGGGGTTGCGGGCCGGCCTCTGGGGTGCGAGTGTAAGTCGCGTTCGTCAGATTGCACTTACACGGGGACTCACGGGGTTGGTCCGCGGTGGATCGATTTATCAGTCAATCACCTATGCAAAAGAAGGTTCATATAATCATGCAATAATATCTCAGCCATTTTTGTTCGAGCAAAAAGCAGTTATGTAGCCATCAGGTGGAAAATCCCCCTCCCGGATACACAACACAACTCCCTTTGATTCACCAAATGACATGGCCTGTGGATATCTCATCGCCATCCAGACGTACATGGAAGCACTGCAACAGCATCAAACTTATTTCATCTGTCAATCATCAAAGTGGGGATAGATCGGCGCTGCAAGCGCTGGGTAATCCCAGGGGTATTGCACCAAACATTGGGTATTCAAGCATTACCAGATCATCAAGTCCATCCCATGGAGCGAGTATAAAGTAAAACAGGAAGGACAAACATTAAACCCATACGTCACACGATAGCAAGCCGAAAGAAACGTCGAAATGCAAAACAGGGGCGTCTCGTCTGAAGCCAAAATTTTATATACAAGGACTGAGAAAGGACAAGAAAAGATTACACTCCACACCCATCTCTCTCCGCTCTGTCTTCCTTCCCGATGCGGACAGTCGGTCGTCTCGCACCCACCAACGAAGTTGTCACCCCGCTTAGTCCGCATGCGCCCGTCGGGTTCGCCCGTGCGCCACAGTCCGTCGTGGCCTACACGTCAACCCTGCGCACTTGGCACCAGCTCGTCGGGTCGTCCAACTCCCACATCAACTCACCTCTTACTTCGCTCATTAGCCGACCCTCACTGATCGCGCTAACCTCGAGCTTCAAAATTTTTTTAAGAGAGCTATCTAATCGCGACGACGAGATTTATAGCATGCATGCATGCGCGAAGAGTGCGAGATTGCAGGGACTGGAAAGAGGAGAAGGGAAGGCAGTGCCTGCATTGTGCATGGCCAGACCGCGGCGTGGGGGACGTAGCCACACTACACGCATCGATCCGATCATGCAGCGCGCCGCCCAATCAGACGTAGCAAAGAAAAAGAAGGAGGTGGGAAGAAGGCGAAAGAAGAAAGATATAGTTACAATGGCGCCCGCCCAAAAATTACAGTTGCATGCAAAATTAAGGCGCCGTCGAGCCAGAACTTCGTTCCCGCCGCAGGAAGATTCGCGCAAGAAAGAGGCGCCGCGCAGCAAGAAATTCAAAAAGTCCTAAATTCCTATCTGAACCTGAAATTGCAACAGAAAAATTCCGACGAGACGGGAGAAAAGCAAAAAAACGTAAAAGAAATCAAAATTCCAAGAGCCCTCGGGGGCTCGTCATTAGTTGAAAGGAAAATTTAAAACGAAAACCGGAAAGCTCCCGCGCGATCGTCGCGCCAAAAATCACAGTTCCCCCCTTTTACTCTGAGTAGAGCAAGAATAAACCATCGCCAACCGTTATTGATCGCGCCCAACGGGGCGGGCACACTCAACTGTCTGCCCCGGGCCTGTCCCATCACCGCCGAAGGGGGAGAAGCGAAGCGAAGGAAAAGAAAGAAGCGAGGACACCGACACAATTTTACCCGCCGATCCCACCCCCTGTAATTTGCCCAACCCTCCCATCTCAGGACCCCTCATTGTCGACGCGCAGAAAGTCGCGCGGCACAGAAAGTGGTTCGTCACACGTGTGCCTGTCTGCACGACCAAGGGGAGAACTGCCTGAATTTCCATACCCGGTGGGAAACGAACGTATCTGCGAGTGGGATATCGACCGAGCTTGAGAGCGCATTCTCCACCACCTTGAATTCCCCAGCTCGTACACGTGCCACCTTGTCGCAGAACCAGGAATAATTATTCTGGAAACCGACTTCCCTCCCTACCACCGCATACTGCCCTTCCATTCGCTGACCATCATCCCCTAGTGCGCAATCGCTCCGTATTGGCCCCAACCCCTGTGCTCGGAGTGCTTGCAAGACTGCGAGTAGCGAGCCTCCGGCGTCATCCGGCGAACTTGCTCGGAGGAAGAACGGCGGGTGCGCAGCCTTCGGCTAAGGCCGGCCGCGTTGGATTCTGAGACCAGTAACGTACGATGCCAACAAGTGATCGGACAGTGCGATAGGCATAGCGTTCAGACTGTGCACCAAATATGAGTCCGACCCAGACGAAGGAACCAACAGAGGAGGTAGCCCCACGTTCAGAAGCATAGAAGCGGACTTCGACCCGCGCCTATCCTCTTGCATTCCTATCCCTGAAACTTGCCACATGAGATCTCAGTTCCGACCTGGGACTCCACCCCCACTTTCCTTAGATTCTTGGCACACCCCCTTTTCGCACTTCCAGGCCCACTCACACTCCGATCAGGAAGTCGTGTCGGGCGTGAGGTTGGGCGTCACAGTGCAGGCTGCAAGGGGTGTACATGAGCAGGACAGATGAAGGAAGGAGATTCCAGAAGGATCGGAAAGGGCAGAACAATCGATAATTCCTGTTAATTGGGGTGGTCGTCCAAGCTACACATGTAAATTCATTCTCGCGCATTGATCCGACCATCTCAATTAAACGACCAATCACTTGCAGCGACAGGAAAGGATAGGATTGGGCGCAGAGTTGGGGGAAGATGAAGGGACATGCACAGAGGAAAGCCTCAACAAGAAGGGAAGATGGCGCGTAAGTGCAGAGTGGGAAGCAAGTTACGCAGCATGCAAAAATTAAAAAACGGCCACACACATTCCAACAGAAAGAAATTTGAACCGAAACCCGAAATTCCTAACTGTTTCCTGAATTCCTTAGCGCGGTCGCTAACCGTCCGCGCGAAGGGCCAATTTGAACAAGGACGGGGGCAATTTCAGAAAATGTATGCATGTAATTCCTCAACGATGAAAAGGGGACCCTGGTTTTCTTATTCAGCTAAGATCCGTGCTTCGGGGCTTACTTCGGGTTTTATACCGAATGGTACGTGAAGCCTCGAAGTACTGATTCTAGCTTATCACAAGCGAGGCCCACATCTAAAAGGGCTAGTCTTGGGCTTTCGAATCCTAAGGAAGGTTATCCTGCTCACCACGCTGAAAGACAAAGAAGACTTTGTATCTTAAAATTGAAAATTTGCTTTGTGTCATGTCAATGCATGTGCTCTGATGCCAGCAGCACTTTCTTCATGTTCTTCTTCTTCTTCTTTGTTTGTTTTTGAGGTGAGGAGAGAGATCATGTGATGATGTCTTGTGCGAGTTATTTTTTTTTGTTTTGGTGATGTGAAGTCACTGGCGAAGGGGACTATATGCTAACTTATGTTGTTTTCATTTTTTTGTCATTGTATCCTCCTCCCAAACCCTCTCTTCTTCTGATCTCTTTCTGATCCTTTCTCTTTGGGTCTTTTCTTGCCTTGAACCCTGTTTCTTTGGGTCTTTTCTTGCCTTGAACCCTCTTTCTTTGGGTTTCTTGCCTTGAACCCCTTTTTCTTTGGGTCTTGCCTTGAACCCCTTTGCTTTGGGTCTTTTCTTGTCTTGAACATCCTTGCTGTGGGTCTTTTCTTGCCTTGAACCCCCTTTCTTTGGGTCTTTTCTTGCCTTGAACCCCCTTTTGTTGGGTCTTTTCTTGCCTAGAACCTCCTTTCTCTGGGTCTTTTCTTGCCTTTGAGCCCCCTTCCCTTGGGTATTTTCTTTCCCCAAACCCTGTGGTTTGGGTCTTTTCTTGCCTAGAACCCCTTTTCTTTGGGTCTTTTCTTGCCTTGAACCCCCTTTCTTTGGGTCTTTTTTTGCCTTGAACCCCCTTTCTTTGGGTCTTCTCTTGCCTTGGCCCCCAAACCCCGCCCCCTCCCTCCCCCTTTGCTCTCCTGCCCTTTCCTCCCCCTGCTTTTCGCTATTCCCCTGCTGCTGCCATCTACTGGCAATGGCTCCACTGCCGGTGCTGCTGCGGCTTAGAAGAGCAGTTTGCCTCCTATTTTGGCTTGCCAGTATCGACCACGCACTGTATCATTGGAGCCTTGGTGGGATTCGGGCTCGTATATGGAGGGCCTGGTGTTGTGCACTGGAGCTCTTTAGCCAGGGTGGTCGCCTCTTGGGTCATCTCGCCGTTAATGGGAGCGACCCTCTCTTTCATCGTCTACAAGTGCATTCGCAAGGTATGTCTCATAGAGTTATGAAATCCTCTCTCCCCGTCGTCTGTGATGATCTTCTTGTGTGTTGCGTCACTGCGCACTGTATGCTTTTGTCGTTGTTGTGGTGTTCATTGTTTATGCGGTTGTCATTGTTTACCGACATGTGTTATTTAATTGTTTATTCCTTAATCGTCTCCATGTTGTTTGTTATTGCTCTGTGTCCTTTGTTGTCAAGGCTTTTTATTTGCTTCATTTGCTGTGTCACAAGGTCCTGATCCACTACTTCGGAACCAAACTGAGGCCCGAGAGTCCTTCAAGAGTTGTCGGACTCTCAAGAAAACACATTAATTTTCCCGTCCTCGCTTCACTTACTCTCAAACCCATTAGACGATAATAGCAAAGCAAAAAGGGACAGCTGTGTCCCAACTTGAGGTACACTCTCGTAATATGGAGTGTGTTCGAAGTTTAGAGGGATGGACCAGGCTTGTGACAGACAACCTTGCGCCAGTGCCAACCCATGAACACTGAACGGGCCATTCAGCATGCGCGTTCAGCTTTCACTGAACGGTAGTTCATGGCCCCCCTATGCCGTTTGCGGTAAAAAAGGGGGCCCTCTGAAGGGCCCTCGGGAAGGGGACCTCCGCGGGCCCTGCCCTCCCATTCAAAACAGAAGGGGGGGGGTACCCCCCCTTAAAAAAAAAAATGAAAATCAATCAACCAGTCAATCAATCATTCATCAATCAACCAGTCAATCACGAAGCAATCATCAAGCAATTCATCAATCAACCAGTCAACCAGTCAATCAATCAGTCAATCAATCAATCAATCAATCAATCAATCAATCAATCAATCAATCAATCAATCAACCAGTCAGTCTATCAACCAACAAGTCAATCAATCAACCAACCAGTCAATCAATCAACCAATCAATCAGTCAATCAACCACTCAACCAGTCAGTCAATCAACCAGTCAACCAGTCAGTCAATCAGCCAATCAATCAACCACTCAACCAATCAATCAACCACTCAACCAATCAGTCAATCAACCAATCAGTCAATTAACCAATCAGTCAGTCAACCAGTCAGTCAACCAGTCAGTCAGTCAGTCAGTCAACCAGTCAGTCAGTCAGTCACCCATCCAGTCAGTCAACCAGTCGGTCAAACTGTCAGTCAAACAGTCAGTCAAACAGTCACTCAGTCAGTCAACCAGTCAGTCAGTTAGTCAGTCAACCAGTCAGTCAGTTAGTCAGTCAACCAGTCAGTCAGCCAGTCCCAAAGCATGCTTACACCACCAGTACTTTTGACCCTTCCCCTGCCGAGCCTGGAAACGCCCTGTGCTCCAAAAAAAAAAAGAAGCGGCATGCCCCTTATGGTTGGCGCCTCCAGCCATGTTGCTCCAGTAGGTCGACCCCCGTGCATATACGGCCACATTGGAGAAAAATGACTGGCAAAAGTACTGGTGGTGTAAGCCACCAGTACTTCTGAGGCACTTTTCTCCGATGCTGGAAAAGCCCCCCTGCACACCAAGCTTTGTCGAACCGCCAGTGAGACGTCTTTTTTGTCGTTTGGCTGGCGCCGCCAGCCATTGTGGTCAGTAGGCTCGAACCCCGTGAAAAGAAAAGGCCGCGGCCTCTGGCCATCATTCACGCCCTTCTATTTCTGCGTTGTCTTTTGGGGCAATTCCCCTCTTAGCTCAGTAGCTGGGCCGGGGCATGATTTGTGTCTGTCCGCAGTGGCGACAGGTGGTTAACCTGCGTCCCCTGTCTCCGTCCCTCCACGGCGGCATTGCTCCATGATCTTCTGCTGTCTTCCGCCATGTCGGGTACAGGTTGGCCTGTGTGAAGTAAGCACCTGCCCCTCCCTTCTCGGGGCCTCATCATTCATGTCGTTGCCGCCGTTTTTAGGCTGTCCTTATTTGTATCTGTCTGCAGTAACGGGATCCTTTCAACACTCTACCTCTCCCTTCTTACCTCACCTGTCGGTAGTGCTCGCTCTGTGGCCTCTCCGCGATGTTGAGACCTCCATCTAGCTCGGCGAAGATACGACGCGGGTCTTGCCAGAGTTGGTTGTAAGTCTCCCTGATGGTTTCCCTGACCACATGTGACGTTCGAACCTCACGTCTTGTGCTGTCTTCCGGTCCGAGTGATAAATTACGTGGAACAGGCCCTGGAAGAACAACAAAATGGGGTGTGCCAAGGATTTTTGGGTAAATTGAGTGTGGGGACATAGGCGGAGCTGAAATCCCCCGTGTGGCTCCATTTTTAGTGAGGAAGGGCCATCGCTGCGCGAGAAGGAAATAGCGCGCACTGCTGTCAAATGTTCGTTAATCCAAAAAGTATCTTTGAGCCTGCATGCGGGCTACTCGTCGTCTTTTCGAATGGAAAGGCAGGGGTACACACGTGGGATCTCATTTTCGGATCAAGTCCCAGTGCCGTTTGCTATAGAGTTCGGAATCGGACGTGGATGGACGCAGCCTGGCCGCTCTGTCCTTGTGTTCGTCCTCGCCACGTGCTCAGTAGTGGAACCTGTTTTCGTGATAGCGATCGGTGTGGCGGCAATCGTTGCACATAGTGTTGGGCCAATGAGGCGCCACAACCATCCACGGGGTGACAATCAACTCATTAGAAGGCAATAGCCATGAGTACGGGGGAAAATGAGTATCGATAATGACAAAACCAACGCCTACGAATCCTGAGCACCTTGTTTCGGGAGGAAAAATAGTAGCGCCGAGTGATCGTGGCGACGGGTTCTCGTACGACCCACTTGCATACACGTGTCCTTTTGTCGTTGTACGGGAACGTGCGCAGCGGGGATGAGGGAAGTCGACGCCCGCTCGGATCGGGGCAATCGGCCCACATGGCATAAGCGAGGCTGATCGTGTACGTCTAATCAATCGGTTATTCGATCAAAAGGTCAAATAGACATCGCGGTATGCATTATCTTCCACCCATCGTACAAACCAATCCCAAAGCGTACGTCCATGCAATCCAATTAGTGGAGAGAACGACCATTCTTCATTTGTGCGAATAGTTAAGCATGCATCGAAGTGATCACTTCAGATTTATGCTTTGTTCCTGTCATCGGGGTAACAACTTAATTGATACATGTGTGTGAGAGATCACTCATGCATTAACCATTGAATATCGAGGAGCAGAGAGAGGGACGAAATAAGATTGTCTGTTCCCACTGGTCTCTTTAGATTCAACGACACTCATCCTCGCGAGATCCGATTGAATCCAACGAGACGAGCAGGACAAGACCTTGGGAGCTGATAGGGACGAGAAAGTTATCAAACATTCACGAAGAAAATAAGAGAGAGAGAGAGAGAGAGAGAGAGAGAGAGAGAGAGAGAGAGAGAGAGAGAGAGAGAGAGAGAGAGAGAGAGAGAGAGAGAGAGAG